CTAATAATTAAATAAAGCAGCTGCTTTCAAAGACTTTTTATAGAAAATACATGCATTTCACTAAATAGTTATTATTACATCTATACATATAATAAAATTCTAACTAAGCCGAATCTGTACATTAAATATATTTCGGAAAATCTTATTGAAATAGACTTTATTATCAATACAGAGGCCGAATCTATAGTTTTTATAATTTTTGTCTGTTTGTCTGGTTGTCTGTTACCGCATCACAGAAAAACTACTGGACGGATTTTGATGAAATTTGGTATAGTCATAGCTAATTATCCGGGTCAACATATAGGATACTTTTTACCGCGGGAAAATATCTCATTTTTAAGAAAAAATACAAAAACGGCAATATAAGAGTATACTAATATGTAAAACCTAAGAATTTGGGTTTTGGTCATCTGAACGCGAGCGGAGCCGCGGGCAATGCTAGTTAAACAATATAATGGCAATAGTGAATTTGAAATTTTATACATCATAGACTAGAGAAATGCTAAGTTTAAAAATTTAAGTAACGCCTTTAAATTTGCAACGGTAGTCTGACATCATTATATGGTCAATCATCTCGCTGTTTCGGCACTAAATGTAGGTCGAATACATTAACCGAGCTATTTCGTAGTGAGCGGTAGGACTCTTTGTTACTTACAATTTTATTGCCGTAATATCTAATCTTTAGGCTCAATTTTGCTTAATAATAAGTTAGCAATTTTAATCCAATTTTATAAATAAATATTACTTTGTTTCGACTCCGCTAACTTAATAAAGATGGAGTTTAAAAATGCCTAGTGGCGTAAGGAAATTACACTGCGGTTACAAAGTGGGTTAAATTGAATGTCCACAACCCAAGTTTTGCAGAAATATTTACAACTACCAAAGTAATATTATACTGTCGAGTCCTTAAACATGATTCGGCATATCCGGTTCGCGCTCTACATTATGCTTAGCCTGCTATCATTCTCGTGACAGCCCGCTGATGACTGGTACCGGAGAATCGGCTAACAATTTTATCTTATCAACCTTGATTTATTTAGAAACAGTGTCACTAGGCGCATAAAGCTAACGTAACTAGTTACGACACGTATTTTGAGTACATTGAAAATATGACGCGAAAACTAATTAATATTTTTTATTTTATTGTATTTTTTGGTACACATAAATACATATTATATTCAATAAAATATTGTGCCTATATTTGTTTATTTTAATCTTTTGCATTGCTGAATGAAAATACGATACGTAGTAAGCTACTTACTATTTATACATCTACACATATAGCAAGTGAGGGGTCTACGATTTCTCTTCCCATAGTTTCTTTGCGACGCTAATGTTCGTTCGATTAATTATAGCTTGCCAGTTCCTTTCATTTATATCTAACTTTATTTTTTATATTAAAGCTATTAATTATATAATTTTTAATTTAATAAAAATTTAAATAAAATTCATAAGAACGTCACTTAAAATAAACTTAGCTAATGTTTTAGAAGTTTCATAAGTGAAATGGATATTATACACGCAAATTTTCCACGCAACGGTAACTGTTATAAGCGTGTCTTATATGTAAAAAAAAACATGATGGAAAAATCATGCGTTTCAGTGCATTACTGTTCATTTCTGAAATCCTTTCGCTCGTAACGAAATCATACAGTATAAATTGAAATACGGTTCTGCTCTCTTCGCTTTTGTGCAATTTCTTGTGGTGAAAGCCATATTTTCTATTTGTTAACCATATTTTATATATAGAAAAATATATAAGTTTAACCAAAATTTGACCATATTAAAATCTTTTTTTTTCCGTTGAACTAAAGAAATCGGAGAAAGGAGTTCGTGTGATCTCTATATCTGCACAGATAGAGAAAGTAACTAAATTTTGGCAAAAATATAGAATATATAAAACTTGCTATTTATTGAAATAATTTAACTTATCATAATTGCATATGTTGATTTTGTTTTTTTACATTATTTAACGTGATATGACGTAGATAACTTAAAAATACGTAGTACCGCTATAATATATAATTTAAAAGTGAATGAGTATAAAACAGTGCAGATGCGAGTGGCACTTTCACACTCGATGTGCGGTAGGTACAGTAGCTTTGAGCTGTAATAATGACGTTAACAAACAAAGCCAAGTGAATGCTAATTCTAAAAAGTGTCAAATAAATGATTTGAAACATGCATATTCAAGTTTTGATCCATTCTGACCTACCACAATTTATTACTGTTGCTAGTATTTAGGCATGTTGTGGAACGTTTCGATTCGTGACATGTTCTTTTTAGGTTGCAGGCCCTCGTTTGGACCAGCGTTCCACTTAGCAGCAAACAAGTCAGCGAGGAGGTTAGCCGGTGTTGAGACTTGAGCCGCATCGCCACCGACTAACGGTTTGGACGGCGCCGCGCGCACGTGAAAATAATTCTTGACGCGATTTTGTAACAAATACCGTTATGTGGTTCCGGGCATGCCGGTGACCTTATTCTCGGCCGCACACTCTTTATTTTTATATCTTATTACCTGCTACATAATGATCGTCCGCTCACAATTTGTTGAATCATTGAAAACGCCGTCATATACCTATATAATCCACTTCGCTCATAAGTTACTTTCAAATAAAAAGCGATAATTACTGACGGATAAAAACAATTAACATATTTCTTTTATTAATTGGTAGATAATACACTATTTATTTCCACTAGTGTAATTTAAGAAATGACAGATAAATCATCATAACACATTTGTTATTTTGATTAAATTACTCGTAGTGTTAATAATATATGTCAGAATTTTTTTAAGCTGATATAAAGTGGTAAACATTTCTATAGAGAAAAAAATAAATAGCATATGACGTGCGAGACCGACTAGTATTGGGGAAATAACGCGTTACGCGTCACTTTGATAATAATTATCCTATATACAAATAAGCAATGACGGTCAATGTATTTTCCAAGGTGATCATCAACAAAGTAACAAGAAAACAAATGGAGTTACCATTATGTGAAAGATTAACTAGAACTAGATTTTTGTAATTATGTAATATAATGACGTAATCCTTAATATATATTTGTTTGTTACTAATCTCCGTCTCTACGTACTTTGATACGGCACGAGGTAGTCGTAAACTGCGCAAAAGACTTGATTTTTCTTGTGTGTCTAGTAAATTGTTTAGATAGCAAATAATTTATAAACATAATCTCTGAGTTCATTCCAGATTGTAAAGTGCCTACTTAAATAATCACTGTATTTGGATTCATATAAAGAGGATACCCCCTTACCACAAGTATGAAATAACTGTGTACTCGATGATTTATTTTGTTCTAATAAATTCGAAATTTAGCAAAGCGCTATAAAACATATTATTTAATGAGCAAGCGAGAGATCGTGGCATCGCGCGTCACGCTGATATCGCGTGCTACGTCACCGTGTTTACGCGCAAGGCCGGCGTACGCGCGCCGTTCCTTCCTCATCGCAAAAGCTAACACTTACATTTATTCTACCAATAACTACAAAAGTATATTAAGAAAAAACACCAATAACGTGGGTTTATATTGTAATTCTTGATATTTTCAATTGAACAAAAAAAAACTCGTCGGATGAGTTGATCGATCACAAGTTCCAAATAAACTAGTTGTTTTTGCCGATATTAAAATACCGCTGTCAGTTAATTGTATAATTATGATTTTTTTAATTTAAACAAGAAACAAAATTAATATTTTGTGGTCTTTGTAATTAGCGTAGCCGATAAGATAACGTCGAGAACGCCTGCTTATGCCATTTGAGTTCATAGTATCAAAATATACAATGTCAATAATTTCAATAAAAATCGCCCAAAATTATAATTTATTACAAAAATGTATACTAGCTATTACGTTGAAAATTATATATCATGGGTAATTTACACGAGAGAAATCGAAATTCCGATTTTAGTGCATAGTGCTAACGGTACGCACTCGGCCGAATTTAGAGCACGTGCGTGCCTTCTGTTATCGTATACACTGATCAGTGCGAAGACGTGCAGTGCATAGCATCCTTACGTAGACACGTCCTCCATTCTTTCTCAGGTGAGATAGCACGTCAGTTTATAGCCAGAATAATCTTCTACTTTAATTATTATTATATGTACTTACTGAGATTTCAAAAGAATTAAAAATTAGTTTTATAATCCAGGTAAAACAACAGACTCTACCAGCGTCAAAAGACAAAACAGTCGTGATAAACAGCGTGTTGACGATTTGTTTGTAAGTTATTAACAATGATTATTGAAATATAAATGACGCACGATGTTATAAGCTTATAATAAGTAAACAAGTATGGTGCGGAATTATAACGAAATATAAAGCTACATAGAGTAAGTAACTTGTATCTATATTAGTAGTAAGTCATCAATCAGTTTATAATATTGAACAATTATTTATTGTTCTAGAGGCGAAAAATTTAAGTCAAATTACAACAATGGCGTCTGTAATGTTAAACGGGAATTATATTGGCAATAGCAATTTACGCCGCTGTAGGTACGTTGTAAATGGTCAGCGGCGACTAGAATAATTTTGCCGGCCGGCGATAAGTGGCATCACTCCTCTACATGCGATAGTATATAATGCGTAGTTACTGAGTGCAGGGCCGGGCGGCAGGGTGGCCGGGGCTGGGTGCACGGTGCACGGTGCACGTCACCCGCTACACGTGCAGCCGAGGTCAATACCTCGCTGCACGCGCTCGCTCACTCTTCTTTCTTTCGTCTTATAATACCTTTGTCTACGCTCAATGTTGCCGCAATGTCAACATCGATAATACCAATGACTGAATGTTTCGTGACTTTCATGAAATTCTTAAAATATTTCTAATGTATTTTACGTGGCAAATCCACGTCATTATCATTTCGAGTAAATTCGAATATACAAAGCGTTGATGTCTTTTGCAGCAACGATAGAGCTTAATAAAATGTAAAAGATTTAAAAATAATGTTCACTACAAAGATGAAGGGGTATGTTAAATAGTTTACCTCAGCCGCTGGTGCGTGCACCTGCACGCGAAGCTCATCAGTATCGTGGTCGTGTTCCAGCACATCGGCACGGACCTCCCGGCCGTTGTAGGTAAGGTAGACACGTTGGCCAGGCTTCAAGCGTACTCCTGTTAAGCCTCGGAACCCGGGTCCAATAAGTTCTGCATCGCGGTACTCGCGTGTTATTTTACCACCATCAAAGCGCACCGTGTAGCGAGTGTTAGGAGTTAAATTGATACAATTGTTGTTTTCTGGAAAAGGTGCTGGTGTTTTAACCGCCTGAATCATACCAGAGTAATAGAGTCCGTCTTCACCGAGCGCCGCTACGCGCGTCCCTATAATAGAGCGCTTCGCGAGTCGTTTGCCGGTAGACATGATACCGTAAGTTTGAATTGCGTCTTTCAAAAATAGCACTGTAAGGGTCTTAAAAAACGTCCGGTATTCACCACTATTTTCGCTCACAAGTTCACTCAAAAATTTCAAATCGCCCGGCGTACGCGTTTCGCTGGGTAGCCGTCACAAAATTTCGGAAAATCTCGAGAATTTCGATGTGATACTGAACGCTGTACGCGATCCGGCTCCTCAATAGGCCGAGGTTGATTGCTGTTCTCGCGCGGAAACATAATACGAGGGCAAGGTCCTCGAAGATCGGGACAAAGGAAAACCCTTTCGCGGTAGTAAACTTTAGCGCAAGCTCGCTGCGGACAACCTCAATAGACACAGCTCAAAGGAGAACTGGCGTGTGTGCGGCACGATACCGGCCGGCCGGCGAGCGGGAGAGGCGACCGCCCGTCTCGCTTCTTTGTTTTGATACTCAGCTGTTCGCCCGAGCGAGATGGAAATACGACCAGCGGTGAGTTAGAGCAGGGCGGATGTCATCGGCCGCCCTCGGCTCCCCGGCTTAGTTCGGGCGGGTTCGCTATTTTCAGCGGGCGGTGGCCGCCCACGGGCGACATTGAGGCGCGCCGGCTCGTTCGCACGTGGAGTGGAGGAGTGCTAACGGGATTGCACAACGCACCTCGCGGCCGCCATCGGCAACGCGCCGGTACTTGCTCGCCGACTCGCCGGCTTATACGTGACACAGTTTCTATTCGGATTTGGGGTCGATTCAAATGTCAAGCAGATGCACCCCACTTATGCAACACTATTAACGTAGCCTCGTTACATCTACGCAAATTGAATAATTAGGACACACGACACACATCGTACTATTCATCTCAACTTGTCTTTCTTGTCTGCTACGACTGAAGAGACTTAACACTTGTTGCTTCATTTTTATGCTTACTTAGCATAATGTTAAACGGTAAAAATGTAACCATTAGTAGTACGCGATATTGCCGATATAAATGTTAACTGCCGTAAATTGGAATGTTAAGGATTTGTTTCTCAATTTAACACGTTTAAAAGATAATGTGCTCTGCTTTGTAACAAGGTCTTTGTACAAATAAAAAGACCCGTTAAGCGAATATCAAAGTTATTTCTATACACAATTTATTATTTAAAAAAATATGTATCTAAACATACATATATTAACTTAGCATCTATTTAACCTATATCAGATGCAAATGTTCCTTGAAAATAATGAAAGTTACAGCTCTACACGATTCATGAAAGCTAAAGAACTTGCAGACATTTTAAATAATATTTTTGTACACTACTGATTATAAAAAAGGCGAACCACGAAGTTATATAATTGACATAACGTCACGTTAAATAAACAAATAATAAGGTAATATTAAACTGTGAACTCTACCTGTTATTTAGCTGAAATTCTTTGACACTACAATTCTAAATAATCATTTATATTCAAGATCAGATATTCAGTTTTCCATTTTATTAAAATTTTCAATCGTACATAACCCATAAAGCGACAACCTGCTGGCCGGTTTTCATAGCGAAAGTCCTACATAATCGTCAACCGGAACGGAAATAGAACAATAGTGTATCTTGAAAGACCCTATCCTGCGATTTTTTAATGGAAAATATTGTATCCCCAATATTGTCTAAAGTAATTCAATAAATAAAATGAGTTAAGTTAATGCTGTCGCCTGTCCGTGTAAAACGCAAGCAGTCTCTACATCGCTATTCGATTTGGTCGCGTACACAGACGCATGTCCAATATACATAAATGTAAAAAGACGAAATGTAAGATTCGAATCTGACCATTAAATATATTTTTTGGAAATTCTTATTAAAATAGTCATTATTATCGATACAGAGGCCGAATCTATAGTTTTTAGGATTTTTGTCTGTCTGGGAACGCATCACGAGCAAACTGCTGGACAGATTTTGACGAAATTTGGAATGATGATAGCTGATTATCCGGGATAAGATACTTTTTACTGCGGGAAAATATCTTATATCTGAGAAATCCATACTAAACGTCAAAACTATCGATTATCGATATTATCGATCGATTTATAGTAAAAATTAAAACAATCGATTAATTTGATTTAATTAGTTAATGCTCATTACTCATTAGTATAATAATATGCACGTCAAGTTACGCTTACATATGAACAAGTTAATACTTCTCACTCATTATCCATAATATTATCTGTTAAGTCTGTGTAATTGTAGAAATAAAATGACTGTCTTTATAATTACTTACTTTATTTATCTTAATTAAACTTGTACATATATGGTTAAAACTTATTTTATAAATATACTTTTATTTTTATCTATAAGTTTTGTAGCGATTAATGATCTTTACATCTCTACATAATTAAGAACTTGTATTTCAACTGTTATATTACGTTTTATGTAAAACAAACCATTTATATCCTTATTTCTTCTGAAAATACTGCTGTATGTTTTTAATATATTATATTTTTAAATAATATCTACAATCTACATATAATTTGTAATTTAAACTAATATATACTCATTTTATGGCCTATTAAAGTGATTAATCAAATTTAATATACCTATACGAGTATGTTTCCGTATTATTAAAATTTAAAGACAACTAATGTCCATCTGGTTTTTAAGTATGGAATTAATAATAAGCTCTACCTTTATTATCTTATTCTGACGGCTTGCCCTGAATATACCGAGTACCATTTTTTTAATTTTCTGTAAAATGAAATGAATGAAAACGCTAAAATACATGTTTCTTTGATTTTGTCAAAGGCATTAAATATAGAATTTTTAAGAACAACAGTATATATTATTTTCAATTCAAAATTAGCCATCTATATAGGGCTTGAATTTTAAGAAATCGTTTTGGACGGTTAATGGCCTAACGATTAAGTATAGGTTGTCATATCCAGCGGCTTGGTCTGGACATTGATGAACCAGTCATATACCTAGATAAGGTATATAGAAGATGACCCATGAATGACCGCTATAATATATTAATATATTTTCTAAAAAAATTATCTCGAAATGCTAAATAATATTTGTCCAATTTCAAAGATTCTTATTCACTTGCATTGTCTTTGATAATGCTACTTTTTCAATAGCATTTATTACTACACGATTATAACATAATTTATCCAAGTATTTCAGCCGTTTCGACACGTGACTACAATTACTTTCATAATGTTTAAGGTCACTACTTGAATTTTTATTCCGCAACATTTAAAATATTTGAAAGAAAGATCACGTCTTTAAATTAATCACGTTCTTTGTATCAATATAAATAATTCGAGCACGTTTTCACTTTGTAGTAATATAGTATTGCATTTTATGTTTTAAGCGACTTTTTTCGGTTTCAAATAATAATAAGACTCGTTCCCTTCAGTGCCAGATGGTCCAATTTCTTAAAAAAATCGATTTTTTTCTTTTTATGTAACCAGTTACCGGCAAACCTGACATAAGTGGCAGCGAAGTTTTGTTTACAATATATTATTGTGTATGGCCAAGATATTTTTAATGTAATAAATCTTTTTAAAAACATTTACATATCTAAACTTATAAAATCGTTAATTTCAATTCGTTAATGCTTTCATAAATAAAAATTGCAATATCATTTAAATTTTAAATGTCTTTTAAAAACTTATTGACCTCACTTCTTTTATCGCTCTACTAATTGCAATGAGATTTTATAGTCTGAGTATAAAATAAGTAAATATGTAATGGTAGGTACCTACATAACAAATATTTTAACTCTCAGCTTTAATTAAAAGCACTTAAAAATAAAAATGTATGTTGAGAAATCCTTTCACTGTAAAAAAGGAAACGCTCAGGTACCTACGTATAATATAGCTACCCATTCGTTCAAAGTTGTCTCTATTGAATTTTAAAATTGGGGTGGTCGATGGACCAATGAAAATCGAGTCACGTGGGTTTGTTGTCTCGATCAGCTGTTGTAGGAATGTAGAAAAAAAACCAAAACAAGGTTCCGCCTAACCCAAGCCAGGTAAGAGAGGCTCTAAGGAAAAAAAGCCATTCAAGACTAATATTTTAAAAAATAGTATGGATATATGTATTGGGTACAAAGTAAACAATACTGAATTTATAATTGCAAAAACAGTTAAGGCCTCTATAACAGTTCCAGTTAAGATACTTATTAGATTGAGTAAATGCTTTATTTATTACGTTTAAAATGTATTTTTAACCGACTTCCAAAAAGGAAGAGGTTCTCAATTCGTCGAAATCTTTTTTTTATGTATGTTCACCGATTACTCGAAGACGCCTGAACCGATTTGGATTATTTTTTGTTTCAAGGGGTATATCTTCCAGGTAGGCCCTATATAAATTCTATCGAATCGGTTGAGTGGTTTTTAAAAAAATCGACAATGTTTTTTTTTAATTGTTTAATCCAATATGTTATTAAAAAAACTTTCTTCTTACAAATTACCTGCTTATTACGTCTACACTAAAAATAAAAACTAAAAAAAAACAGTCTTCCAGGCACTAAAATGTAAAAAATAACTAAACGGAGGTTTTCATTAAGAATAGATAGGTACCTAATCAGATATTTACGAAGTCGGTGCCAGCCAACAATATTTTAAGGTATGAATCTCTGATAGGTAAATATGTATTTTACGTATCGAAATATATTAGATGTGCTTTGCATCGGCAGGGACATAGCATGTGCGGGGATAAAGCAGAATATATGCCAAGAAAAATATTGAATAAATAATACACATATATACATACAACCATATAGTACACCCTTATCTTTATATCTCGGTAGTTGGTTTCTTGTTGTAAAACTTTTATAATAATAAAGAAAATCAAAACACCGAATACATAAATACACGGGAACCCATAAAACGACAACCTGCTGGCCGGTTTCTACAGCAAAAGTCCTACATAATCGTCAACCAGAACGGAAATAGAACAATAGTGTATCTTGAAAAAACCGCACGAGATAAAGAACGCGATAAAAATACCGCAATTTTTTTTGTAAATAAACAAAATTTTGT